CAAAGCGTAAATGATCAGATTTGAGTCAATTAGCCGTTGAAAAAATAAACTTCAAAGTATTTAAAAACCTTTGATGTTTAAAAGCTTTCATATATATATATATATATGTACATTTTTATCCTTCCGTAAAGAACTCGTAAGAGTTGAAAAACTTTTATTTTATGTGATGAAACGCTTTATTAAAAAAATTAAATAAAATTTTATCATTGAAAATATTGTTCATTATACAACTGTACTAAATATAATATGAATATATAATTACTAAATAATAAATAATTCAAATCGATATTATTTAAAAAATTAAAATTACCCACAATTTTTATACCATTAATTAACCACAAATCTAAAAATTAAATCAAAACATTTTTTCATTAAAATATATATGAATATATTTATGAGACAATAAAAAAAGGAAATAAAATTAAAAAAAGAACGTTTCAACATTACATAACAGATTTTAAGTTGAATATAATTAAAAAGCTTTAATTATTTAAATTTAAAAAAAAATTAAATCTTTTAAAGCTTCTCACTTTGTTTGCTACTTCAAATTCATTTTTGATGTAAAAAAAAAATAATAATTGAAATTGTTTTCCCTCTCATATTCACATGATAGCAATTATAAAAAAATGTATAGCTCGTTTGCCTAAGAGAGTAAAATCAACACAACCGCCACACAAAATGCAAATATGGAAATTAAAGGAACACTGTTAATTAATTTTTTTTTTAAATTACGAATATCTATTATAAATATATATATATACACTTGAACTTTTAAAACCAATTGAAATGCTCATTAAACGAAATTGAACTAAATATATATGCAAAATAGTATATTATATATATTAGAGTTGCAATTATAAAATATAATTTGATTCAGAATGTATTGTGTAATATTTTTTCATGCTTCTGGTGAGATTAATCTCGTAAATTACTCTTGAAATTCAAAGGTTATATACGAGACGTAAATAGTGAGTTGCATGTAACATTCGTTTCAATAATACTTTTTCAAAAAGAATACAATATACAACATTCAAAAATCATTGTAATTTATATCAATAAAATGAATGGATTTATAAACAAAATTTTCTATTATTTTTAAAATTTTTGCCAAAGAGGAAATATTATTTTAAATTCTATTATATTTTACAAGTAAAAATTAACATTTCAAATTTTTTAAATCTATATTTTAAGATAAACATCTTTTAAACAAAAATATGGAAAAGCAAAATATAAATAAATTAAAGAAAAATTTGTTTCAAATAATTGGTTACTTGACTATTATCAAATAATTTTTTATTTGTACTAAATTATTAAATTAAATTTATTATAATTAATAATTAATTATTTGAATTAATTTATATTGGTTCAATTATAGTTTATTTGATTTAAATAAAAATTATCTTCTTCAAGTAAATACTTATTTGGTAATAGTCAAGTAATCGATTATTTGAATAATATAAATTTTTTTTTTCGGTGTAAAGAAAAATAAAAGATTTTTATATTCATTTTTTTTTATCGTTTTGAAAAAGTAGTATTCTTGATATTCGAGATAAAAAATTATTTTTTAATAACTCGACAATTTTATTTTCATATATTATATGTAGAGGTATCGTTATCTATTGAAAATTGAGCGTCTCGTTGAGTGTCGTGTATGAAAGCGGTGAAACGATATAAAATTTTCTTTTTTTATCAGAATTTAATCCATGCCAAGGATATTGTGTGGTTCTATTCAGTAAGCTTGTCCTGTGCGATAGACAGGTTGACCTAGACCTACCAGAGAATCAACATTTAATTATTTCTCATCACGACTGTTCTCTCACCTTTCGTCTCTCGCAAGGGGAAAATAAACTCAACTATAATATATAGACAAAAAAAAACCACAATTTGCATAAATACTTCTCTACTTGAAATTTTATTCTTTCGCATCACAGCAAAATCTCCTTTATAAAATCATAAAAAATAGAATGCCTCGATAGATTTTGCCATAGCCATGAGTTAAAAATAAAAAAGAAAAAAATTTTCTTTAAATCGAATTTGAAATTATGTGCCATTACAGGAGTTTTTTTTTAAATCATTTTTCAAAATAACCTCATTAATTTAAATGAAAATTGGTAGTATGATATTTATTGATATATTTTCCTTATTTTTTCAGCTTTTATATAGAAAAAGAAAATTAGGATGCTTGGTGTTAATTTGCTCAAAATTTTCGAAATTGCTTTTCGTTTTTTATTAGATTTTATTTTAACCACTTGAGCGTCATGGCGTTCCAACTGGCGTCGTGCGTGGCAGTGACAGAAGCGTCAAAAATGCATAAATGGCGTTCCTACTTGAATTGAATTTGTAAAGTCTGTAGACATAATTAACTAACTATAACTTACTTTTTATATTTTTTGAGATTAAGCAAGACGTATGTAACACAAAAAAATTATTTTTTTAAACATTCGAACAGTTTTTTCGAAATTTAAAGTCGACAATTTTTGGTACTTTTTTGCGAATGGCGTTCTAACATTTACTCAATAAAATTATATTTCTGCTTCCAAAAACTGTGCAAACCACCCAAATCTTGTTACTCGGGGATTTTCGGGATCGCTAAACACGAATTTGATGCCAAATTGACAATTTGACAGTTGACAGCTGTCAATTCAGTTGCCAACTTCTATAAAAAACAATTATTTTTTATGAAAATAACTGTATAAGGGTTTTCGGGGTCGCTGATTACGAATATGATATCAAATTGACAATTTGACAGTTGACAGCTGTCAATTCAACTGTCAACTTCTATAAAAGACAATTATTTTTTATGAAAATAACTGTATAAAGTTTTTTGGGGTCGCTGATTACGAACATGAGATAAAATTGACAATTTGACAGTTGACAGCTGTCAATTCAACTGTCAACTTCTATAAAAAACAATTATTTTTTATGAAAATGACTGTATAAAGGTTTTCGGGGTCGCTTATTAGGAATATGAGATCAAATTGACAATTCAACAGCTGTCAAATCAACTGTCAAATTTATAAAAAGTGATTAATTTTAATGAAAATAATAGTATAAGGGTTTTCGAGGTCGCTGAAAACGAATATGTGGTCAACTGTCAAATTGTCAATTAGACCTCATATTCATACCTTATACAGTCATTTTCATAAAAAATAATTGTTTTTTATAGAAGTTGACAGTTGAATTGACAGCTGTCAACTGTCAAATTGTCAATTTGATCTCATATTCGTAATCAGCGACCCCAAAAACATTTATACAGTTATTTTCATAAAAAAAATTGTCTTTTATAGAAGTTGACAGTTGAATTGACAGCTGTCAACTGTCAAATTGTCAATTTGATCTCATATTCGTAATCAGCGACCCCAAAAACCTTTATACAGTTATTTTCATAAAAAATAATTGTCTTTTATAGAAGGTGACAGTTGAATTGGCAGCTGTCAACTGTCAAATTGTCAATTTGATCTCATATTCGTAATCAGCGACCCCAAAAACCTTTATACAGTTATTTTCATAAAAAATAATTGTCTTTTATAGAAGGTGACAGTTGAATTGACAGCTGTCAACTGTCAAATTGTTAATTTGATCTCATATTCGTAATCAGCGACCCCGAAAACCCTTATACAGTTATTTTCATAAAAAATAATTGTTTTTTATAGAAGTTGACAACTGAGTTGACAGCTGTCAACTGTCAAATTGTCAATTTGGCATCAAATTCGTGTTCAGCGATCCCAAAAATCCCCGAGTAACAAGATTTGGGTGGTTTGCACAGTTTTTGGAAGCAGAAATATAATTTTATTGAGTAAATGTTAGAACGACATTCGCAAAAAAATACCAAAAGTTGTCGACTTTAAATTTCGAAAAAACTGTTTGAATGTTTAAAAAAATAATTTTTTTGTGTCACATACGTCTTGCTTAATCTCAAAAAATATAAAAAGTAAGTTATAGTTAGTTAATTATGTCTACAGACTTTACAAATTGAATTCAAGTAGGAACGCCATTTATGCATTTTTGACGCTTCTGTCACTGCCACGCACGACGCCAGTTGGAACGCCATGACGCTCAAGTGGTTAATTAGTTGTTATGGCTGCGCGCGACGTTTCTTATTTCAATGATACCAACATGATTCTGTGAACCATGTGAACTAAATATGGTAAACATAACCTCACATTTAAGAATTATATTGTTATTACTGACTGGAAAATAAGAAATGTCGCGCGCAGCCATAACAGTTGATTTAAATAAAACAAAAAACAATTTCTAAAATTTGGAGTTTTTCAAATTTCACCTTTAAGGAATTTAATTTCGTGTAGTCGTTCAAAAGTGGATTTTTTTCAATGTCTTGTATCTTTTAAATAAATAATTGTTTTTACTGAAAAAAAGTTTCTTTTGGATCTATATTCAACAAATATTATACAACAAAGTTTCATTTAAATTTGTGAGGTTACTTCAAAAAAGTGATAAAAGAAACTCTTGGAAAGGGACATATTTAAATAATCATTTTTAAAGAAAAGTTGAATGTTTACATCAATTATAATTTTAATTTAATTATAAACAAGCTACTGGAAATTTAGTAAATATTTATACTTGCAATATTTGGAATATTTAATTGCAAATTTTAGTGAAAATTGTGTAAAGATTTAAATGTCCCGATTAAATAAATGTTTAGTATGAAACTTTCCTGAATATTTTAATGAAATTTTCGCGCTAAACATTTATTCGAGTGGGACATTTAAATATTTTACATAACTTTTCAATAAACATTGCAAATAAATATTCCAAATATTGCAAGTAAATATTTACTAAATTTTCAGGAAAATTTCGATGCTGTGGGGGTAATGAAAAAAGTATTTCCGAATTAAATGCAAAAATTCAAATATGATATTTCAATGAAAAAAAAATAGTGTATAAATATAATATAGAATTGCGATGATTTTTGAAATAACCTACAAATGTTATATAAATGTATAGGATAAAAGAAAAAGAGATAAAGAAATTTGACTCACCTATGCACTACGTTCGCTAAAAGGTCATTGTGTCTTAATCTGTAGTCGACATCGACCTTTTGATAGTTGACAGTCAAGGTACCAGCTCGAATGCATCTCTCATATTCTTCAGCCGGATGTGCTCTGAATTCTCTCGCAAAAACCTCAAGGATTTTTTCGCCAACCCATCGACCCTTCGTGAATGTTGTAAACGTAAAATAATATGGATATACTTTCCGTAGACCTGCAAAAAAAAAAAAAAAAATTCCTCATTTATTTATTTTTGATAGTTTTCATTTTGCAATCAAATTTTTTAAATTAATATATATATATATATATACAGTCTGTGCAATTTTTCAATGGCATCTCTGATTCATTTGTCAGACTTTTAATATCGATTGCATCAATCATCAAATTGAAATTTTGGTGGTGGGTGCAAAGACAAACTGCATGTGTTCCAGAACTTCCCATAAGTATGCAATGCTTAGGCCGCAATTCTGCAAATTTACTAAAAGATACGGGAAAATCTGGGTATGTTTCAGTGTACGTTACGTACAATCCACTTAAATCCAACAGCAATAATCTTTTCTGCTTTAATTCACGTTTACCATCAACTTTGACTGATTTCACGTCTTTTATTCCTGGCATTATCCTACTATTAATATCACTTTCATAGAATTGAATAATTTTTTCGACTTTTTCTGCCGGTAATTTTTTTCCAGCTCTTGCTGTTGTTTCGGCTAAAACTCCTTTTGAAGCCTTTAACTGTTTACTTTTTCTAGCAAATTTTTTAGAGCAACCAAACTCCTCTGCAATTTTGTTAATACTCCAAGAATCTGGAAGAATAGTCAAAATACATAACCTTTGCGGATCAAATAAGTTTAAATTCGAAAATTTTTCTTTGAGACCATTGAGCATTTCTTCAAGTTCAATTTCTCGTTTCGATCTACCCTCTTTTGTAAAATCAGGATTTGAAGAAGTTGAAGAAGTCTCCATTGAATTTATCGTCTCATTTTCATCTTCTTCTATAACTTCATTCTCATTACTAGACGGAATCTTCAAGCTTCTACAATGACAACAAATTTTTGAACCTTCCGGAATATTCGGAAATTTAAGTCTCAAATTCTTTGATAAAACACGTAATCCCTTGCCTGTATGCCCATCCTGACCATAAGGATTACAACATCTATCAAAATGTGTATTTGATAAAACTTTTGGCATTTTAAACACAAAACTTAAAAAATATCTTAAACACTTCAAATAAACATATAAACACTTTAAATAAACAAGTCAAAAAATATAAAATCAGAAAATAAACTCAAAAAGAAATTAGTTTATTTATTACTTTTTAATCAAAATATATTCTTGTCAAAATTGATTAAACATACAACATGAATGTTTAGTTGTCAGGTTAAACAAATAACTGACAACTTGACAAATGAACATTCATTTTTTTCTTAATTTTTTTTATTTTGGATTTTTGCAATTCTACGTGTTTTATTAAAGAATCGGAAACTTAATTTTTGAAATATTCCAGAAGGTTAAAAAATTTGTAACGATTATAGATTTTTAAAAATTCCGTTTAGAAATAAGAATGAAGTTATAAAAGAGAATGAAAATAAGACCATAAATTCAATGGAAGCACTTCTACAACTTCGTGTTTTAATTCTGATGATTTAAAATGAAGAATGAAAGAAGAAATTAATTTTTAAGAAATGATAGATGGACTGAAATAAAAATTTTTGAATTTTAGGTTACATGATGCGCAGAGATTATAAATTTTAACTGTTGTTTCATAGTCTTGAAGTTTGAAAAAATTTGCTAAGAAATTTAGTTGTTCTAAATAATTCTATAGAAAAGCAAAGTAAATGAATGCTGCAAAAGGATTTTAGCAAAAATAATACTAAGATACGCCAATAATCAACGAATGCAACAGTATGAAATTGTATTGAATTTTATGAAAGCGACATTAATAGCAGAATAATGTCTTCTGTAAATACCAGTTAAAGTTGATGCAAATTGATTAAAATACTCAATTTCTTTTAAAGATTTTGTTGAAGAATTATGTCATAAGCTTGCGAAATTAAAATCATATTCATTATTACAAAGCAGCAAATTTAGTATATGAAAAATCGGAGAAGTAATATTTGTGACATTCAATTCTATATAAAAATATTCGCAAGAAACTTTACGAAAATTACAGAAAATTTCTCGGGAATCCATTTTTCCGATACCAATCCGGGATTTTCTAGGGAATTTTCCGAGAATCAATACCTTGAGAATATTCAGGTATATTATTAAGATTTCTCATTAGAAAGATATGACAGTGACAGTCCTGTGTAACACAGAAACCTTTTTTTAAAATTTTTCAAGTTTACGAAAATCTCATAAAATTAAAAAATATCGTCCGATATATTTTACACAGTTAGAATTATTGAAAATTGACCTTATATTTATGTAATCAGCTAACCTAAAAAGCAGTAACTAACATTTATCATGTAAATCAACTACTCTAAAACATTCATAGTAAAAATTTTCATTAAAAAAATTACATTTAAATAAAATGGTCCGCCATACTGGATCCATAATATTGAATTTTAAAATTCTGACTTCAGATTCGTATTTAGCGACCCCAAAAACCTACGAGTAACATGTTTCAAGCAAATCAAATCACTTTTTAAAAAATTTGTCAGCCATATTGGATACGCCATAGTGAATTTTGAAATTCTGACTTCAGATTCGTAATCAGCGACCCCAAAAACCCCCGAGTAACAAGTTTCAAGTATCTCCAAGCCTTTTTTAAAAATTCGTCCGCCATATTGGATTCGCCATATTGAATTTTGAAATTCTGACATCAGATTCGTAATCAGCGACCCCAAAAACCCCCGAGTAACAAGTTTCAAGCGAATTAAATTAATTTTTGAAAATTCGCCTGCCATATTTCAGCCGCCATTTTGAAATTTCAAAAAGTGCCATTCGGCATTTAAAAGTATTCCTTTTTAGCTAAATTTTAAGCCTATGCCCGATAATTTAAACATAAACCATTTTTGGAGAGCAGGGGGGTCCCGTTGACGAAGAATGCCTCATATATATAAAATTCCAATTGAATTATATTAAATTTATAAATATTTTTAAATTGTTAATTAATTCTTTTTTAAATCAATAAATTCCTTTTTTTTCGGAAAAAAATAAAATTGAAGGGAAAAAAATGCTTTTTTTCTCTCTCCAATAAGGAGATAAATAAATTGCATTTTGAAATTGAACAAATCGCGTTATTAGGTAAAGAAAATTATATAATATGCACGAGAGGATTTTAACAAAATGAGATAGGAAATCTTAATATCGTTTGGTGTATAAGTGGAAAATATATATTTTAGATAAAGTCACCTTGCTTAAATTTGCATATTATCCGATACACGCAATCTAGTGAAAAAAAAAAAAAAATGTGGTACAAAATTATATCGTAAATTAGACACAAGTAGATATAAAGTTTTTAGTAACACCTGAGAAAGGAACATTAATAATTGTCATTATATTTTCAAGAAAAGTGAAAAAAAAATGTGTAAATCTCCATTCCAAATGAGCCATTAGAGACAAATAATGTTGGAGAGGTTAATTCATTTATTTTTTTTTTGCGTTTTAAAGAAAGATCCGTAAAGCAAATGAGTATTATGTAATTATGCATTCGTTTCATGTCAAATGAATTAGTTCCTTACTTTTTACTTAAACTAAAATTCTAAAATGTAGAAAATTAAACTTCATGTATATTTTTCATTCAACTTTATATTTAAATAAGAATAACAAATTGCAAATTATTCTCCACTTTTTTAAAATCAATTTTTTTTCTTTCATTCAGGTATATAAAAGTATCAATGAAATTAATTAATTGAATAATATTAAATTAAATTGGATAATTATTAGTTGGGAAATTGAAATTCGATAGCAGAGATTATATATTGAAATTTTTATTTAATTTTTTATTTGTTAGATTCAAATTAATTTATACGGAAAAAAATCTTTATCTGTAACAGCGATATGTTTCTTTAATATAGCGAAAACTTTCTCTGTTTTAGTGAAACATATTCAGTTTAATATTGCATGAATTAAATTGAATGTAATTATATAAATTAACATATTTTTAGGGTTCCGTACTCGGTTCGGAACCCTATTAATATCGGTTTTTTTGAAATCGTGTACCCCCCCCCTAGCGGCCACATAAATTTATCTGGAGGGCTGAAAATTAGTACACATATGTATTTTCGCGTGTAGATTACAGGAAAATTATAGCGAACTTGATTGGAATTGATTAACATAGCGTTGTCAAGGAAAAACCATGAATTTTTACGAAAAATGCCTAAAAATGACTATGTACCCCCCCCCTAGCGGCCACATCTTTTGACATAAAGAGCTCAAATTTGACACACTTACGTATTTTTACGTGAAAATTACAGGAAAATTATAGCGAACTTGATTTGGATTAATTTACATAGCGTTGTCAAGGAAAAATCAAAAATTTCGAAAAAAATAATTTATTCTCCCTAGCGCACACAATATTCAACCCAGACAGATCATATTTAGTATACAAATGTATTTTTACGGGAAAAATACAGGGGAAAAAAAGCGGTCACGATTAGAGTTGATGATTAATTTTTTATCAAGTTTTTCAAGAAAAAATGACAATTTTAGGAAAAAAATGTATTTTTCCACCAAAAACGAACAAAATTTTATTTAAAGGAAATTAAATTTATATATTTTAACGTATTTTTATGTGTAGATTACAAAAAAAATATAGCGAGCATGATTGGAGTTGATTATTATAGCGTTGTCAAGGAAAAACCATGAATTTTTACGAAAAATACCTAAAAATGAGTATGTACCCCCCCCCTAGCGGCCACATCTTTTGACATAAAGAGCTCAAATTTGACACACTTACGTATTTTTACGTGAAAATTACAGGAAAATTATAGCGAACTTGATTTGGATTAATTTACATAGCGTTGTCAAGGAAAAATCAAAAATTTCAAAAAAAATGATTTATTCTCCCTAGCGCACACAATATTCAATCCAGACTGTTTATACTTGCTGTAAAACTCAATTTTTGCGTGAAAAATACAGGGAAAAAATGTAAGCGCGATTGGAGTTGATGATCAATTTTTATCAAATTTTTGAAGAAAAATGTATTTTTCCGCAAAAAACGAAAAAAGTTTTTTTACAGTGATTCAAATTTATATATTTTGACGTATT